ATTCGACGAGTGAGCGAAATTCTCCCAAAACCGAAGTTCCTTCGAGAGATCGGGTCACATACTAAGTTCTAAGGCGTTTATAGACTCGGGTTCTGAGAACACTTGTTGGGTTTGGTAGCGGCAGGTTGTGATGGACGATTCTGAAACCGGATATCGTAATATGACGCCTACTTTTTTATTTTATTTCATTTTAAGGTGTCATGGATGAAAGATTTAACTTGCGTTTAATCAGAAGAAAAGTACTAGAAAACGCGGTTTCGTGCTGGAACTTTGCCCTCGACTTTTATTCCGCGGTCAGTTGAACAACGCTTCAAGGAAGCCTGAATTCGAGACAATCTCAAGTCACATTTTTTCTCATAAAAAAGGAAAATCTAAAATGCATACCATTAAAAATTTATAAAACACTTTCGGGGGAGGAGGTACCATTTCTTTTCTTGCATTATATGCGAATGCGAGTAGATTTATTTTTATTTAAACACTCTAATATTAGGATTCTTCAAGAAGTTATCATTATATGTATTCGAAATTTCGTGTGGTTTGGAAGTATTCTCAATGAGCTGAATTTTCTATAGTCAGAGAAGCACTGTACAGTATTTTATCGACTTGGCAACACTGAACACTTTAAAAAGTCGTAAGTTTCCAACAAGCAGAAAGTTTTCAATTTCCGAACAATATAATTCGTGAGAAGACTTTCGTACTGATTGAAATCTGAATTATAATCCACGGGTAATTTAAATACGAGTCCAGGTTCAATTTAAATTTTTAACTAAAAATTGGGAATGTTTTTTTATCACGACTGAATAAGTCTGCAAGGCATGAAAATGTCGTCACATCGAAGGAGCGAGTGAATAACTAAATCAATTCTTCATTATTTCGTGATGCAGCCCCATTATTCTAATGATTGATGGCTATTCGTGAATGTGCTGCCAGTATACCACTTTTTTTTTCGAGGGACTAATGAAGTCATTTTGCACAGAAATTGTGCAATTTGTACGAGTTGATTGGCGGATTCGAATTTCCCGCAATGGCTGCCGTTCAAAACAAATGCTCCGCGGATGGAAAGGAAAAGTAACAAGCCGCTCAAGTGGCTGGTGAGCGCGACAGGTTGCAATTTTCTGGGCCAACCAACCTTGTGCTAATTTGATAGTGCTGACTGCCGGAGTTTCTATACTTTCTTCCTCCGCTTCATTCTTAAACCTTTTTTTTTCTGTGTTTTTCTTCTCCAAGGCGATGGGAAACATACTCGCATGAACGCATATGTAAATGTGGAAGGTTATTCTGTGTTCGGAAGGAAAGAGACTTCGATTGAAGGCTCAATTTTTATTTTTTGCATTGAGATCTTTGCTGGAATATTTTTCTGAATGATCTTTGCCTGTACTGTAAAATACTGCTCACCAGCATGATTAGACATCGGTCTATTTTTCAATGTAGCTTAATATTTTATTTTAATGAAAAATAAAGAGGTCTCGTGTCTCAGAGATCTTTGCTTCAATTGCAGTGAAGTGAAGCCAAAATATTGCAGAGCGAAAGTCTCGTTTTTATTGGCAACGATCTCTTCATAATGTAGCCTAATCATTGTTTTGACATGTTGAAAAATGTTAACAATTCAACTCCTCTTCATGTCAATCGACGAAACTCGAATTATTCAAGGTTTTTGAAGTTGGATTTTCGAAGAAATCGGGATAATTTTGAGGAGGTAAAACTAAAGCCAAAAAACAAGCTGATGAAATGTAAATCGTATCTAACCATAATATAATTGCCATAGCTCTTTATTCAAAATTAGTATGAATATTTTCGGGTGAATGTTCGAACCCCTTGAACATTATTCAGAATACAGTATTGTAAATTTTATGAATGTAGAGGAAAAAAATCAAAGAAGTCGTCCTTTTCGTTTCGAAGTATTTATTTTCTTCCGCTGATTTTTTTAGTCTGCCTTTTGTTGCTTCGAACGTCAATCGACGAAACTCGTCAGTATTTGAGGTCAGTAAAATTGAATTGCAAAGAATTCTGTATATACTGTTTTTTTACGAGACAAAGGTAATGAGAGAAGCGTTAACTGACTCTAACTGGTGAATCTAACTTTTGCATTTGCTTCTTTTTTCTCAAGAATTTACAATAAGCCTCTTGTAACAGATTCAGAATATTTTTGAATTGCTCATTTTGATGGGGGGGGGGGGGGAATCAAGAAGGTTTTTCTCGTCAGCTCGAAAGGTTTTCGTCCTTTCGCTGAATGTTATTGAAAACCAATTTCGTCTTCCTCCTTCAGAAATTTCAGAGACCCGCATGTCTCAAGAAACCGAAGCAAAGAATAGCAGAAGCCACGGGAATAAGCGATAATATGTATCAGAAACCCATGTCTACGTTGAAGGGTAGAAGACTTCCATGTGATGTGTGCCACACGGAAATGAATCGCGTTTTTCAGCCAACAACCAGAATACAAAAAAAAAGAGCCAATCCTTGTCAGGATTAAGACTTGTGGGGGAAACCAACGAGAGACTCTTTTTGTCTATCTTTTTGTAACCACGAGGAATCGAAGAATCGAGGCTCATCACGGAGGGAAAAAAAGGGGAACCAATTTGGCGGCTTTTCTTTTCCCGTCAGACGGCGCTGATGAAAAGGTGGCAAGAACGTGATTCGTAGGTACTTTCCCCCCTTTTTCCAGTTTCTTAGGAATAAATATATATATACCAAAAGAAGATCTTATGCCCTGGATGCGACTGATTGGCTGCCAAGTCTTTTCAAAGAACTTTTTCCTTAGCTGACGCTGTTCACATGATCTGACTTTTGTTGAGTCACAACGAAGTGACTATAGTGAGTTCCGAGAGGAAAAATTTCTTTTCAAAATATGGACCCGCTGGAAACATGGAATGTCACAAAAATATTTTTCTTTCTCTAAAAAGCAGTAAGAAATCTGACGTGGTAGATTTTATGGTGCTTGTCAATGAAATTATGCACAAGAACTGCCTGGACATTTCTTGGAAAATTACGAGAAAGGAAAACGTTTTTGGTAACTTTTCTCAACATTATTCAAGAGGTACTTTTTTATTTCGGGTACCCTTGGTAATCACGAAATGAACTATAAAAATGCAGTACTTGTGCCCTTATTGGAAGGCAGGTCAGCAAATTTACGTATTCTAATCCAGTTTTTTTTTTAGAAAACATCTTTATTTAAATATTATCGGAAAATTTCGCTCGGCTTCACTATCATGTTTCTTCACAGTACCATCAGAAGTGGTACTTGAAGGCGTCAAATCAAACAACATTAAAACGTTTGTATTGTAATATTTTCTGCAAGTGTGCTTTTTAAATTTTTTCAGCCGGTCAAGTTCTCTTCTTTTTTTTTCTCGCGGAGGTTTTTTTTAATTCATCCTAGCAAATTTCCGAACACACGAAGAACTAGGTTGACATGTGTCTATGTGTGTATGTCAACACCAGACCTGAAGAGCTTTTTGGGAAGACAGACCTTCTAAACGCGCATTATGAGTGACTGCGCACATGCCTCGAGCTGAAACAAGTTGTTTGACAGCTTCTCATTCTCAAGTTGGTTCCAAAGATTTTTGAAAATATTTT